GGATCACGTACAGATTATAGAGAAAGCAAACGACACGTCCGCGCCTTCGAATCGACGATCTGTCGATCTTCTTCGACCGTTTTCTAACGATCCAGCGTTTTTAACAGTTTGAAGGTAATAAATTGAAAACCTAGTGGAGGATTTTCAAGGCAAAAGTATCAGAGCGAAACTGCGAACGAATGAACAACGAACGCCGCAACAAAGATGTGATTTATAGATCCCGCGACTTTTAGGTGGCGATAACCGGTTCGGTCGAAGGTGGGTAACGTCGTTCGAAAAGTTGTAAAATTTTTTTAAACCCGTTGTGTCGATGTAAAATTTCGTTCGGAGTCCACCAGAACGCAACCGTTACAGCCGGAAGTAAAAGTTTTATTGCTTCCCGGCGGCGAAAAGTATGCAATACATGTAAAAGATAAACAGAAGGAACATTTTTCGATAGACTTTATATCCGTCATCGATTTAACGAAAGGTTACAAAGGGTAACCGTGATTTCTCAACGGCCTTTCACAGTACAATAGAACTCCATTTATTGGAGTTATAGACGCCTTTTACTGTTAAAAAAAAAATAATTAAATTTCTCAAAAAATGAACAGTGAGGTTTAACTTTCGTAAAAGAATAATTCAAGCTCGAATTTTCTGTCGTGAAAATTTGAAACCCAGATCTACAACTTACAATTAGATTATTTTGTACGAGGAAATATCTTTCGTATCGTACACTAATTTTGTTAACCTGTATAGTAACAACTAAACGAAACAACGAGTAAAGTTACGAGTTTACGTGTACGGATTAATCGATAAAAGATAAAATGGGCAAGTTGTAATTTTTACAGCGACTTAAACTGCGAATTCCTGCCTGAGAAAAAAAGGCTGCTCTTATCGAGACCACCGCGTAACTATTAAAAACACTTTCGACTGTGAAATGGCTACAATGTCCTGGAAGTTTCTGTAATACACGATATCGCGATAGGACGAACATTAAACTCGAATCACGCGAAAGTAAAACCGCTCGGAGACCCATTAGCAAACTATGTCAATCCGAAACGATAGCCATAAAAGTTTTATAATGAATTTGATTGCCACGATAAGACGGCGAGGGGGAATTTAACGCGAGCGTGGTCTTCGAATTATACGTTTAATTGCAAATTGTTAGGTTATTGCCACTTGACGGTAATTCTAACGGCGGAAGTTCTTGTAATTTCCTACTCGTCCTGACATTTTTCACTATTCCATGTACAATCCACGTGGACCACGATATCGTGTTTATCAGCGTGTTCGATTCACAAAAGATATTTACAAACGAAATAAATTGATCGAAACGCGAATTATTATGAACGTGAACATCGCGATAGCCTTACGTAAGCATGATTTCTTAGCTTCACTTTCTAAATAAAAAAGCGTTTTATTTAAATTTGTATCTCTCGAAATAATTGTATACGATTGAAATAAAATTATAAACGCATCTTTTTCACAGGAGATAGTGAATTACGACGTCGACACGAGGCGAAAGTTTCGAGAACCCCCCCCCCCCATTCTATTCGAAGCCAGAAGTTCTTGAAAGTCTTGAAAAATCTTGAGACTTAATAGGTTTAACGAATTTCAATGTTCTTCAAAGTTCCCGGGAGAGCCTCAAAAGTCTTAAATGTTTCAGCATATTTGTAAGTCTCGAAGTACTTGGAGGCTTTAAGAGTCTTCCGAATAAAATTATTAATTATTACGTGCAGTTATTTCCTGTGTATTTGCCACTGTTCTCTTCTTCGATGCTTAAATTCGCTGAGCCCTGGTAAATCTTTTCGGGACCGATCGAAGCCTCCCACAGTAATTCTCCAGTCTCGAATAATATTTCAACGCGATCGAGCCTCTCGCGTCGCAAGGACTTTGGTCGAAATACTGTTTACGATAACGTCTGATGGTTTTTGTCAACGCTACGCAAGGCCAAGAGTTTTTCCTCTTATCAGTAATTGTTTTTCTTGGAACGGTACGTGCCTGGACGCATGATATAAACAAACCTTCGCTACGGTCCTTGGTAACTCGAATCTCAAGGAAACGAGCTTCCAATTATAGAGTTTTACTACAAATTTCTGTGTTTCTATATTGTCTATATTTAAAAGGAAAATATGTATATTTTATATGTTCCACATGGCATATGTCATCTACAGAATTTAACCAGTTAACTGTAGCGATCAAGCAATGACGGGTATAGTCGTCAAATACAGAGTATGTGTACAATCAATTCTTTAGTAAAATTTCTTCCCTTTTTTGAAAAAACGATTCCCTGCGACTAATTGAGAAACCAAAAATAACGATTATAATTATGTGTATATTTCATATATCCCACATGGCATATGTCATCTACAGAATTTAACCAGTTAACTGTGGCGATCAAGCAATGGCGGGTATAGTCGTCGAACACAGAGTATGTGTAATATAAAATTAGGTTGTAATAAACTGACTTTTATTGTTTTTATTTATTTACTTAAATTAACATATTTTGCATATGAACGAAAAAAAAACATGAAAAATCAATTTCTTACTTTAACTTGTTAGAGAATGGTGTTGAGCAAAGCATGGTACAATGCATAATGAATATAAGAATCCGTAATTGCTTCTGTGATGACTAATAAAAGACAACGATACATTTACGAAAACTAATTCGCAGTATATGCGGTTTTTTTTATAATTTTTATTAGCTTGTTTCATTTCGTCTTGACCTCTAAACATAATTTAGTTTTCGCCAAAATTACAATTTAAATATAAAATTGTAACAAAATTTTACGCATGCCATAGTCGTCAAACACACTTAACTGGTTAAGAGTCTATTTTCGAATCTCGCTTATTCGATCATATATTCAAAGAAAGATGAAGTAATCGTTATAAGAAACGATGAAAGAGTGGAATTGCAGAGTACGCGAAGCGATACACCGAAAAATCGGAAGGTCTCTTGGGGTCAAAACGAAGCTCTTTCGCGGTCGAAATTAGCAGGAGCGTGCGTGCGACGCGCATAAATTGATTTCGTAAATAAATATGGGTATCATTAATCACTCTTCCCCGGGAGTCTAGATTATGTGGTTCCATTTATCCGAGCTGCCGCGGTACCGATCAAACCAGTTAATCAACGTTCCACCGTAGTTTAGCACTGTGACACATTAAACGCATTATAACTTGACATTTATATCGCGTTTGTTAAACGAACGTTACTCGCTGGTACTGTTCTAACTATAACAAGAAAAAAAGACTCCGGATAGTCTTATCTGCGGTTACGAAACGACACGGACGCGACATCTGTTGAGTAATCGAGGACACAAACACGTTCCTAGAAGATTCGACGAAAAATAAATTGATTTCTTTCCGCAAACATTTTTTAATAATTTCGAGTCGTGGAAAGACGATGTTCGAAAAATTGGCAACGTTAAAAAACTTTGAACGAAATTTTGTATATTTGTTTTTGAAGCTGGTTGAAATTCGTGGTTTATATTTTCTATAATTTTGTGTCTCGCGTAATTTTCTATCCTGCTTCGCGCATTGATTCGTTGACTTATCCACGGTGAAACTTTTTCGAGCGGAGGAAAACATGTTTCATTTGTCCCCAAAGAGGGCTAAGCTGTTGTACGTGAAACGTAAAAACCAATAATAAAGGTTCGTCCATCATCCTCTTACGTCAACGTTCCACAACCCAAAGGTTTCTTCTTAATTAACGTTTCTTTTTAACGGATAAACGTTGCGCTTTGGCTAAATTGCTTAGCGTTCGGAAGCAAACTATAATCCATATTCGCCGGAGTTGAATTTTATTCGCGAACGAGAAATAGAAATTTTTCAATTAAAATATTTTAGACGAGGAATGAATTATAAATTTGTCACTGTGCTGTCGAGAAATTCAACTTGCGAACTAAGATCAAAGAACTGTCCGTATCTATTGCAACGTTCGCATAACCTACCGGGAGTGTGGTCAGCAGAACTCAGAAATGCATTCCTGCTAATCGAAGTCACACTTACGTTACTGTTATCACGATACGTCTTATCGGTGCAACTACAATATAGAAAAATGCATATCATTCTAATTAGAAGAAATGGTCGCCGTTTCTTGAAGAATATTGAAAATAATTGAGAAGGGATATCAACCACAATGAAAATAAATACTGTATATGCGTATGTGATGAATAAACATATCCAGAAAATTTCGATACAAAATAATGTACTTGATATTAAAACAAAAAATTCAGAGAACGAACGTTTAAGCAGTAAGAACGTTTAATGCCCCCTTAGCATTAGAACTACCGACAATTATGGTGTATTTATTTGTAAATTTAGAATTCTCTTATGGAAAAGTATGATAAATTTTCAAAAGTCCAGTCGAGTGAATTTTTTAGAATTTTTGTTAGAAATTACGAATCGTTTTGAATGGTTTGGTAGTTCTAGCGTTAGTAAGATTCGACACCCATTGTCCTGTGGGTGGTAGATGTCTGATACTTTCGAGCTTTGCTATTTAGAAGAAATGGCCACCGTTTCTTGAAGGACATTGTAAACAATTGAGAATCATTGAGAAGGGATATCAACCACAATATTCAATATTTTCGGATGAAAAAAAATACTGTACATGCGTATGAGACGAATAAACATATCCAGAAAATTTCGATACAAAAATACTGTACTTGATATTAAAAAAAAAATCAGTTGACAAACGTTTAGGCAGTAAGAACGTTTAATGCCCCCTTAGCATTAGAACTACCGACAATTATGGTGTATTTATTTGTAAATTTAGAATTCTCTTATGGAAAAGTATGATAAATTTTCAAAAGTCCAGTCGAGTGAATTTTTTAGAATTTTTGTTAGAAATTACGAATCGTTTTGAATGGTTTGGTAGTTCTAGCGTTAGTAAGATTCGACACCCATTGTCCTGTGGGTGGTAGATGTCTGGTACTTTGGGGCCTTGCTAGGTAAACGGAGTCTTGTAACGAACGAATCGGCGGAAATTTGCATTAAATCATGCACAGAAATCCACTCACCTGTCCATAGTTGTCGAATCCATATTTCGTGGCAATCTCGGCGGCAGCTTCCGGCCCATCCGGCACGTGAACCGCAAATTGATTGGTGTAGATTGGCGTGGATCGCAGGCGTGGTACAGGTTCCGATTTCACGAGGGCACCGATCACCATCAGAACACACAACAAGCTCGCTTTGACGATCATCTCGTCGACGGGAAGTGACGAAGAATATATATTCTGGGTACACTGATGTTCTGCCGATCACCGTTCGCGGTTCAAATTTTACCGACGCGACGCGATCCCGACGTACGAAAACCAAATCGCCCGTTAAATCCGACCCGTTTCGCGAATTTTCATTTAATTCCCGTATACCATCGCCGCGAACATACCAACCCGAACGATCGACGGGGAAACGAAAAGAAGAAAGAAATGAGAAAAACAAGGATCGAGGAACGCGAGTCGAGGCTGAGACGCGAAAGCTCGAAACGGCACTGCGAAATTTCGATCACCCTGGTCGCCTTATCTGTAACAGAGAAAAAAAGAAACCACGTCATTGGCTGAAGTAAACCAATCCGGCGTCGCTATAGTCCTTCAGGTGTGGCGGCTGTAATTATCGAGAGGATTTCCCTCGTTCTCCAAATATGGTTCACAAATAAACTGGGCTACAAGTTTCTATCTTTTCTCTAGTATTATTCTTGGCGACGCTAGTTTTCGATTTTCGTTTAAATGTTACTTGAATCATTGTTTCACCACGATATTACGAGTTTCTAGCCGGAACTAACCTACAAGTGACTAATCAATGGACGAAAAAGCAAAAATTGATTTCTGACGTGGACCTATGATGTATGATATGTGTAGAATGATATCTGCATCGTTTGGTGCAGGTATTAGGAACTTACATCCATTATTTTCCCCCATAGTAAATTCTATTTATTATTTTACAGCATTCCTAGTCAAAGTAGCGTCGTTTCTAAGATAATTATTCACAGTCTAAAAACTAATCGTCTTGTCAAAATCCTTGGTTCTAGGGCAAAGGGTCTAGCCGAATAAAAATGGTAAAAGTGCCCCCAAACCAAATTGAACGGAGTTAATACCACTCAATAGGTGGTTAGAAAAGACCCCTTTAAAATATTTTCGAATTTTTTATGAATCGAATTTACATCCAAAAATTCTGAAAAAATTCTCGAATATGTACATCAATCGATAGAATAACCATGATTTTTTTCATAATTTTTAATTGACCAGAACGGGAGATATTAAGAATAAACCAAAAAATGATTTTCACCCTGTAATTACCCCTGTAGAAGAGACACCGGGTTGAAACTCTGTGAAAAGGGGTTTTTTCGAACCACCTATCGAGTGGTATTAACTCCGTTCAATTTAGTTTTAGGGCACTTTTACCATGCTTAAACTATCGACTAACGAAACATTTTTTCGTAACTCAATAATTTTGTAATATTTTCAAATTAAAAAAATAGGTATACCAGAACAAGTTCAGGTCTTTCGATCGAAGGAACGTTGCCTGAAAAGGCCTGAAAAGTGACGAGAAAAAAAATAGCCAAATACTATCGATAGGTTGAAAGTTATCGGCGAGTCTCGAACATAATCGCTCGTAGAATCCCTAAGTTGCCGGCGTTGGGGGTTTGCCAAGCGAACCGATAAAAAAAGAACGAATTTTAACAGACTTCGCTTATCCTTTTGTTTCCGTTCAATTTCCTTGGTAAAACGATTGCCCGGGCGCATAATGCGCATCAATATTGCTGCGCCATTGAGTCACAACCGGGCGGGCAATTACTCGCGGAGCCATCGGGAAAATGTCGACTCAAAAACTGAAAACCGATAAAATCCTTCTTCCGTAGTTTCGCTTGTGTCAAGTTCGGAAAAACGTGCACGGAAACTTTTAATAAAATCAAAAGCTTCCGCGCGCAGCGGACTTCGCCATCCGCGCCACATAAAGGCGAAGAGCGTGCTCGGGAAGGATTTCGAAAACCGTATTAAAGTCATCGATGAAATTCTTTCGATTCTACGGACCTCTGCAGAATCCAACTCGACGAGCGCCCGATGAGTCATCGGAAATAACACGTTTATACGTCGCTGGTGGAATCAGAAACGAAGAAGATTACGCCATCTTAAATTCTACCATCAGCATGTCTCGTTCTTGTACGAAAAAATAAAATTTATCCTGAAAATTTCTACGAAAAGAATGGTAAACAAAATGTTGTTCGAGCTGTTGGAGTCAAGAATAACGAAGGATAGTAAAATAAAATTGTCTGATTAACAAACTGTTAATTTTGTCTTCTCTGTTTCTGATAAAAATAAAAATTGTCTATTATCCGAATAATTTTCATTTTCTACTGTAAATGCATGGCTCTGCGGGGGAAACTTTTTAAATGGCGGTGTAAAAAATGGGCCACTGTCCGTTGCCAAAGGGTTAATCGTCCGTGGAGAAAGGATCGCATTCGGCTGGTAATTTCGGTATCGGGTTTTGACGCGGTGGGTGTTTAGGTTAGATACGTCTTATCGAGGCAACTTTTTTTCTGATGGATGTTTGCTAAATTGCACCGAAGTTGCTCCGTAATTAGAACAGAAATATCGTGCAGCTGTTCCTCGGTGGCTTACTTCACGCGACACTCTTGCACGTTCCCCGCGTAATTACAATCGACTCGGTGTTTTTATTCGGTCCCAGCGTGCCTACGATATTTTTTTGCACCTCCCCCTTGCCCCCCTGCCACCCTCCCACGGTATCATGAACTTTCCAATTTGTAGGTTCTCGGAACCTCTTCTTTCGGACGCGACGATGTCAGAGGCTATCTGGAGAAAGATTGATGGAATTTAATTGGTCACACTGGCAATTTATTTTATCGAGAGGAACGGTCGGCTTTCTTCTTTCTAAAATCTTCTTCGCTTTCTACTTAATTTTTCGACTAATAATAGTATTCCCCTTAATGCGTCGTACGGAGTGAACTCGTGGACCAAACTGTTTTGAACGAAAGTAGAAGATACGAATCCAAGAAAATTCTACAGGGTTTAGTGATTCTACTTCTGAATGTAAAGAATAAAGAAAAATCTTTTAATTTTAATTGTTTCATTTCGTTAATACTACAAGGATTATAGATTAAATTTCAAACATTTTTAATAAAATTTGTACCAGGAAACGAAGTGGAATATCTCGTATTCCGAGTAAATAGTTCCATTTTCATCTGGATTTTCATTTGATATATAATAGCGATGCATTGTATAAATATAAGTACCAATAAAATTCATAAAATGACAATTTTACAAATTGTTTGAAGGTATAATAAATCCAGAATACGATGCTTTTTTCGCCTAAAGATTTTCGTTACTCTTTAATGCAGGTAATGAATTTTTCCAGGAAAGTTCGTTTTATCAGCGCTTTCTCGTGCAAATAAAACCGAATTTACTTAAGAGCAACTAAATGGAATTAATATCTATCGTTTTCGACTCGTTTCATCAAGTAATCTTATTTTAATACTACGAATTTACCAGTTTTTATGAACTCCATTGTACAATCGATTCTTTAATAAAATTTCTCCTCTTTTTTGAAAATCAATTCCCTGTGATTAATCAAGAAACGAAATATGACGATTATAATTAATGATATTTCCATTCAATAATTACCGTATTCAAATTGTTAGTATACTAATCTCCGATCTGCAAAGTGAATGAATATATAATTGATTCCATTTTAAGATTAGAAATCGATAATAGCAATAATTAATCCCGATGAATATTTCAAATCCTTTCGATATAATGAATCGATTGAATACTATATCTATGCGATTAAATCATTATTATCTTCGAAAGTACGTCCTAGTGCATTTCCACAATTGAATTTCCTTCCACGAATAAAGCAGATATTTATTTTAATAATTGTTCGTTTACGTGAAATCGATAAATAAGTCTGCCATAATATTTTCATTCTCTTAAACCGGTACTAGAAACGCTCTTCCTCGAGCGTGCGTCGTGTCTACGTAAGAAAATTCTCAAGTAGGCGCGAACAAGTATCGAAGGACGATCATTATCGATGCACCAGCGAACCGGCGCGAATGGAATCGGTTAGGATTGCCGGGGGAACCGGGCGAAATTTGACGGAATTTGTCCCCGAATTCGGATGTGACTCGACGAAACTGTCGGGTACCGATCGATGATCTAATTTCGATCGCGAACTCCATTCAAACAACCCTATATTCGCGGAAGTTCGGCAAGTAGCTACGAGTTCTGGGCAAAAGGAGAAGTCGATGGCGGCCCCGTATTGTCGATAGTTACCAAACGAGCGAAAGCCCGATCGAGTTCTACGCGGGTGGCTTCGAGTTAACTGGATTCGCTCGCGAAATTGCTATTACGCGCAACAGTTTAGCAGGGAAATTGGAGCGACGCGTGAAAGATGCGTTTTCCATCCTTCTTTTCGCTGCCTCCCGCCTGGGCGAACAGAGGAACCACTAATTTCATCTTTCCGTCAACTCGCTAGGCGCCATTTGCGAATCGGTAGCCAAAGGAATTCGCGAAAATTGGCCATTTCCCAAAACTCGAACTAAATTTTCCTACAAATATTTGGGACATCGAATTACTGTTAATTGAGTTTAAAATATACAATGGAACCTCTGAGTCTCTGTTATCCAAACTGAGGTAGTTTCAGTTATCCGAACAAGTGTTTTGTATACAGGGTTCGGCCACACCTGGGAAAAATTTTAATGGGAGATTTTAGAGGCCAAAATAAGACGAAAATCAAGAATACCAATTTGTTGATGGAGGCTTTGTTAAAACGTTATTAATGTTTTAAAGTTCCGCCCGTACTGAATTTTTTTCTCGAAAATGCGCAGAATTTCCGGGGTATGTGTATTCACCAAAAATGATTGTAATTAACCCCCGCAACCGAAAATAATTTTTCCAGAACGATATGAAATTTTTTTTTTTGTTAAAAAATTTCAGCCCCTACCCGATTTTTTTTCTCGAAAGTGGATAGGATTTCGGGGGTATGTCTATTCACCAAAAATGATTGTAATTGATCCCCGCAACCGAAAATAATTTTTCCAGAACGATTTGAAATTTTTGAATTTAATTGTTAATAACTTTCTACCGAAGCCTCCATCAACAAATTGGTATTCTTGATTTTCGTCTTATTTTGGCCTCTAAAATCTCCCATTAAAATTTTTCCTAGAGGTGGCCGAACACCCTGTATACATTGCTTGTATGTACACACATAATTTATTCCAAAATATATATCTAATTAACTTCCACCTTATATAATTAAAAAATAAAAATAATGGACTGGTGAATCAGAATACGTGTGAATTAAGTCCATTCGCTGAGAGAGACAAATTAATAATAAACAATCTTTTTCTGGTAGATTGCATCTACGATCGTAGGAATTACTACCCAAACGCTGAGAACCGAATTTCGATTGTTGTTTTACTGTAATTGAGGCATATTTTTCCTCGATGGCTACTTTAATCGGAGTTATCAAGGTCATCGATGTTTCTTTAAATAGATCTACATATTGTA